TTGCTCGAACAAATCGATCCACCGAAAAAAAGCACCTCTCATGGGCCTACACAACAAGATTTCAATAAAATATTAGTAACCTAGTAACACAAATAAAGAAAAAAAGGTACAGAAAGAATCACTTACATTAAAACGACTGTGTGTGTAGAAGCAACGCACAGCTGTGTCTCAATGTCTCGATTGAAACACGTCGGTCGGACGACCACAATCACAGTTAGGGACAGGGAGGTCAAGAGAGACGGGGGCATCTTTGCTAGACGCGTCGGGGTATAATTCTGTAAGATGATCCCGTTTTAGCCACAACTGCTCCCGATACATGTCTTCCATCTAATAAAACGATTGTAATTTAACATCAATCAAAACATCACAAATTAATGTAAAACAAAAAAAGTACTAAAGTAATGTAAAGGTGAACCATTTGCATTAAAACAAAGAAAATATAACCTACACTTATGCACTGATAGTTCTAACTAATAGTTGTAACTAACTAATTAACCTTCACATAGAAAAAATTAACTAATCTTTTCTCCAAACCCTAAGTAGGAATCCTCCATTACCAATCCCTAGCTACCAATCCTACTATTCCTCTAAAACCTAGCTACCAATCGTAATCTTTGAATCCAAAGTTCAAACAACAAATAAGAGTATGAATACCTTGATGGAGGCCGAGAAGAAGCTTGGGGGAGGAGAGAGGTAGGCAGACCAGGGGAGGCGGGCAGCCGCCCAAGGGCGAGCCATGAGCAGCGACGCCGGCCTCTTGGAGGCCAACCGGGAGGAGGAGGCGGGGGCGGCCAGGCCCGGCGGCCTTGCCTTCGAGCGACCACACAGGAGCAAGGGACGGCACTGGCGAAGGAGTCTTGGTCTTGGGACGAGAGTGTCTGGCCTCGGCGCAGCGATGACAGAGAGGAGAGGAGGGAGGAGAGCTAGAGCGCATCGCGATGTGCAGCACTACCACACCGCCATGCATGGTAGCGTCAACATTGTTTGTACACGCCAGGCAATAGGCAAACACCACCAAAAGTGTTAGATTTGAAAATAAAAAAAATTGAGTGTCAAATTTGGAAATAGTTTAAAAAAGTGTTAGAAATAAAAAAAAAAATCTCTAGGACTGCTAGTTATTAGCTCTTATGGAAGTAAATAAGTACTCCTGGAGTTGCTATATATCACATCTACAAGGGACCACAATAGAGAAGGGGTATACAAACAAGATGAAGGTTGTTGGAAACTACTTAACTACTAGGTTACGTTACTTTCCCAGACAAAGCGTCCCCACCCCAACCCAAACCCCACCGCTCGCACTCACCTTGTGTGAGAGCTTTCAGCACTAGTTGGTTAGGCAACTTTTAAACCACTGCAATAAACCTGCTCACTACATCTATTCGACTTGTGTAACTTGCCCAAAGCAGGATGCTTCCGTTTAAGAAGCATATATAGGTAAACCACTGATGTATAGTATTTATGCAACAAAAGAAGTCATACAGCTTAATCATCCGCATAATCCTTCTCTATTCCTCACAAGCCAAAGGCATATTTATGAGACCATTCCATAACCCATTATTAATTGTAGACTATCTACACCAGAGCAAAATAAATAGGCTTGATGTGGCATTGAAAGGTTGAGACGTGCCACACTGCCTGTTATGTGTTCCAGGCAATCTTCAAAATACTCAAGCTCCAACTCAAGAGCTCAACTAAGATGTTGATCCATTTGGCACAGCTTAGTGCAGTCTGTAGATTCAATTAAAGATTAGCAGATAGCACTATCTGCAGGTCGGCAAAAGTTTATATGAATTTATCATCACAGATCCACCAATTGATTATAGTGGATGACTGCCAACTGATAGTGGCAAGGGCCATAAAAGTTGACAGGAAGAACTCAAGTTTCTACAGAGTCAAGACAAACTAAAGTAGATGTTTCCTTAGCTTGTAACGAACTGAGGACAGTTAAAGATGTACAATCTTCGACAGAGGCATTTTACACTATCAAGGCATCGATATCTATTTAACTTCATATAGAAAGCATGGTAAACAAGGCATGTTGCAGGATGATTTAAAAAAAAAACATGACACTTTTCAGTAGCTTTATGTGCCTATCAAGTATCAACCAAAGTTCTAAAGGGGGGCATGGCACCAAATTATTCCTGCTGTAAGGAATTAGCATAGGACCACTAATTGTTTGCAATACGTACTGGACTAAAAGTATCATCAGATTGAACAATGGATTTGCAATTTCCATGATTGAGAATGACCAATTTAACCTAAAGAATATTAAAAATCCTAAGGCCTAGCGCCTAGGCAACAAATTACATGTAGTGATGTGGATTGTGTAGTAGAAAGCAGCCTTTCTGATTGATGTAAACAAAACTGTAGAGACAAAGCTCTCAGCTGAAGATATTTGATAGGAACAACAAATAAGACCCTTTCTGACAAGAAAATCAACCAAAACTCAAAAGAGGGCAGGACAGAGCAACAGGTCAAAGTATATAGTGGATGCCAAGTCATCATCAAATATTCAATTGTCCATAAATAGTTAAACAGTTAGCCAGCAACCATCAATCTTGATCAACATTGGATTGGGCATCATCGTTAGACCTAAACACAGTAAAACACAAGTTAGGCTGTGGAAAATTGGACTTGCTAGTTGTTAGGGGAAACCATTTGGGCAGTGTTTTGTTGGGAAGAACTTAAAAGGATTGACTGATGTGAACGTGAATTATTAAAGACAAGCCAATTGCCAGAGAAGTTTACTTTCAGTAGATTAAATGCCCAGTAAACTGTGATATTTAGCTAGTGATGCATAACAATGACTAATGACAACAAAATGAAAGTGAGTCTTATTGGAGTGAAACAAAAATCAAGCAGGTGTCCAGAAATGAGGGGACTTACAAAACAAACATCGCAGAGGCTGACAACATGCTCCTTGACAACCCAGACATGCCTGTAGCTGCAGAGGACCAAGGACCAAGGACCATCACTGTCTCAAACTGTGAAATATGTGGATGAATTCAGTTTTAGTGATTCAGATCGCCAGAAATTAGCAGGAGGAAAAAAAAGGCTTATTTGGCTATCCTTCAGTCATCGTTTAAGGCCCAAACAGTTCTTAGGCCCATTTGGATTCCATATTAGGGCCATAAACTGTGAAGCACACAGCTGATTGTTACAACCCGGTCCAAAAAAAAAAATACTACTAGATCATCACTGAAGAAATACTTGCGGTAGCCAGCACCCAGCAGGGTCTGGAAATTGCTGCAACTAAGCAAAAGCTTTCAACTTACAAGCAAACAAGAGGGAAACTCAACTTAACATGTCATAAGGGTGTGGTGCTACTGCAATCATTTCAAAGTTTTGGACTTGTCAGTTTATTATCTCAACAATGTTCAGCAGGCAACAGAACGAAAGTATATCAACTATCCTCAATATAAAAGATATAATTTAAGTCTCTTGTAGTTTTACATGTCAACGTGCAATAGAACTAATTTAGGAAACTGCATGCATAATATGGAATGAGGAAGGAGAAAAAAAAGGGAGTTTTTCAGTTGTGTGAAATTATCAGTTAATTCAGTTGGAAAGCGTTCAGTTTTGTAAGAGACAAACTTCACCAGTTTGCATACACTGCTTGTCATAAAATGCAACAGAAATTTCAAACAAGAAATCCATTTACTGTTGTATATAACTTTCAATGTTTACAATCAAATTCAGATGATCGCCATTTCCTTCAGATAAAGGATGGCATTAGCATTCCAGTTAAATGAATAAAGTATGCTCCAGTTTTTATCATAACATACAGATCATCAATTGGTGTTAACTGGTTAAGAAATTTCAGTTAACAATATGAAATGGAAATATGCTCAAAGAAACATGAATTGTGAAGACTGGTTAAGAAATTCAAGTTCTTATCTACAATGTTTAACATCACCAGAAGTCTAAAACTACATCATACAGGTTGTATTGTCAAATATCAGAATACAGCACTGTTTCAAGATTGAAAGGTTGGTTTGTAGCCTAGTGGATGAACACAACAATCCATAGGACCTTGTTATAAAACAGAACTATATTGTCTGCACAAAACATATACAGTGCTCAAGAGCACTTTTGCAGTGCATTGAGGAATTAAAACTCTAGAGCAGCTAAGGTACCTGAACTATCTGGGCCAGGAACATACCTGATATTTCTTTGTAAAAAAGATCAACTATCTAACTTTGTTAATGCACAGAAAAGTTCATGAACATTGAACAGCATGTCACAGGTTTACAGCCTTCAACATTGACAAAAAGAAAATGACTGTTTCCTTGCTTCAACATTACTTGTAACAGAAAAGAACAATCCGTTCTTAAGATGGCTTTATGGTTCATACAAATATGAGCGGGTTCACATACTATAAAGGCACTTGTTATAAACTTATAGAATTTCAAGACACTTGGTGGACACAACAAATGTTCTCAATCATGTTTATGCAGATACAGATACAAACATCCATTGTATCAGATAAAAAGAAAGTAAAGAAATATACCTTGCCCCCTCTACGCTAGAACCAGGTTTGCATCTGAATCTACAGATCTATCATTTGCTAATGGGGGAGTTCAAACAGAGGAAAACCCTCTTCTCAATTTCTGAAGTCATGATCTCTAGGCAGCTCAAACTTAGCAAAGCAGGATGCTTGTCAGGCTGCTTTCCCTACATTAGTGAAATGGGAGGTGGAATGGTACTTAGGAAAATACATGTCATGTACCACCTGGCCTCAAGCAACTTTATTCTGAGAGAATGGTGTTGAGTCTCCCATCTTGAGACCTGAAAGAATCATCCATGTAATACAAGATCATTTCATCTGATCATAGCTTGTCCGTTAACCGAATCATGAAAGAACTGACAGCAACAACATCCAGAACAATCCATGATGACTCAAACATGTCATGGAAATAATCTGCACCGATCTCCTCTGCCGCTGATCTGAATGCTTTACCAAATGCATTACCCTGAGCAGCCCCAAGCCTTGGTTTTCCTCATGCCCCAACAACCAGTACCTTCTCAGGCCCCTTTGCTAAGCAAGAACAGATCAGCGGCTTCATCCTCGCACCCCTTTCCTTCAGTGCATCCATCAGAAAGAAGCAGAACTTGGTAAGCGCTTGTGGGTGGCAAAGTTTGATAGTGTCCACAGGGTCATCAAGCTTGACCCACCGGAACTTCTTGGCACTCCGTATGAACCCTGTCTTACTAATGGCCGAGCTTCCTTGCCTCAAAATCGCCCTCTGGATCTCAATTGCAGACTGCATCCCTTTCTGCAACTGATCAACATTGCTCAGCGACAATGCTGAGTATGCAGCCCAAAACTGCTCGGCAGCAGAAGACTCCTTTGTGACATTGGACTCGGCATTCAGCGATTCAAGCAACGCCGTGACACCATACACAACGTCTGCAGCCGAAACCTTGGAACTGTACCCGTGCACCCTTAAGAAGCTCCGGTAGTAGAACTCGGTGAGGCCGTACTCAGGCAGCAAGCGGTCAAACTCGCCCCGCATCTTGCGCTTGACCTCCATGCTCATGTACTGGAAGCTCTTCTGGCAGTCGGCGAGCGGGAACCCGATCCTGGCGAGCAGCAGCTTGAGCTTCTTGAGGCCGTTGTCGGTCCACGTCCTGAGCTTGGTGGCGACGTAGGAGGAGCAGAGCATGGAGTCGAAGAGGCTCCACTCTCGCAGCAGCATGAGCCGCGGCTCGTCCTCGTAGGCGATGCGGGACGCCTCGGGCGCGCGGACCTTGGTGCCGTCCTTGAGCGTGACGACTGCACCAGCGCCCGACGGGTCGAGGTTGCCCGAGCCGTTGACGTGCTGCTCCAGCCCCATGACCGCCGCCTGGTACCGCTCGTTGGTGATGCGGTCGTGGACGAACTGGTCGGTGAGCGTGCAGGCGAGCCAGAGGAGCTCGTTGGTGTTGCGGCGCAGCGCGTGGGCGAGCTCGTACATGAGGCACCCCGACGGCTTGCCGTGGAACGTGCCGACGCGGTAGTACTCCCGCCGCAGCCTCCCGAACAGCCTCACGGGGTCTGGGTCGTCGTCGTCGGAGAGCCGGCGCCTCTTCCTCCTGCCGCCGACATCCTCGTCGGCGTCGGAGTCCTCCGAGTCGGATTCGTCGAACCAGAATCGGCGCGGAGGGGGTCGTCGGCGTCGCCCTCGGCGGCGGGGTCGGAGGCGTCGGCGAGCGCGGCGAGGTCGAAGTCGTAGGAGAGGTCCGCGGCTTGCTCGTCGTCGGCGGTGAAGAGGACGACAACGCGGGCGTTGCGCGCGCACAGGTTGTGGAGGTGGACGGGGCGGTGGGAGTCGACGACGAAGGCGGTGGCGGTCTCGGGCAGGACGGCGCGCACCAGGTCCCGGTGCGCGCCCCAGTTGACTAGGACGAGGCAGAGCGGCGCGGAGGCGGAGGCGGAGGCGGAGGCGACGGGGTAGACGGAGAAGCGGACGGAGTCGGCGGCGAGGACGTGCGCGAGCGCCCGCACCGCGCAGAGCGAGTCGGCGTCGGCGGCGGACGGGAGGATCAGGAGCGGCGATGTGGAGCCTGCTGCGGCGGCGGCAGTGGCGGCCGCGCTGATGCGCGCGTAGAAGGCGTCGACGCGTAGCTCGCGCACCATCGCCGCTGCGTCAACCAACCCAGGTCGGGATTGGGGAGCGGGGATCAGGGAATGGAGGTGGAGAGAGATCTGGCTCACAGATGGGGAGATGCGCGGGCTCCGAAGGGTTTGGATTTGGGCGATTTCTGGTTGGAGTCGGAGCGCGCGGGGGCGGGGATTGAATTCGGAAATTGGAATTTGAATTTATTTCGGGTTTGGGAGGGAAGGGAGTTCGTCTTCGTCTTCGTCCATCCAATTCGATCCATCCAAATCCAACTCTCACTTGGCTGGCCGTCTTCGTCCATCCATGGACCATGGGGCTGCTCAGCCAGCAGCTACACTTGGCTGGCCGAGTTGGGCCAAGTCAACTTGGGCCGCAGTCCCTTTGGCCTTTTGGCCTGCTAGGTCCATGCACTATTGCACTCAGGAGTTAGCTGCGGTTGCTTGGAGGGGGGCCTTTCACTCATTTGGCGGCAAGTATGGCCGCAGTTTTTTTTTTTAAACGGCCGCAGGGCTTTTATTGCTGGCTTCAGGTTAACAGTGAATAGTGAATGAAGTCCATCGGGTTATATAAGAAATTGATTAAGAGAATAACCTAATCAAATATATATTTATGTAATCCCAAAAAAATCAGAGATGTTTATGGATATTCGTGTAAGGAAAGAGAGAGATTACACAACTGACGTGCAAATATAGAAGATATATTTATAATAGAAAAAAGGAAAGTTCAATCGGCTATGCAAGGAAACTAATCATTTGTAAAAGTCATAGTTAGAAATAGTGTGTTAGGAACATGAAGCAGCATGTGTGCTGAAAAAGATTGCAATATGGCTGGCTTCGAGAGGGCCTTTTTGGTTGTTGCTATCCTAGCGGGCTAGGTAAATGTGTGCCAAACAACAAATTTAGGCCATCAAACACTTGAAATCGAGGATGTAGAGTGTTTTTTGACTAGGCAAAGTTACTTGGGTAAGAGCAATTCTAGCGGACCCCCCTACTTGATCCAAATTCAGGTAGTGGAGGCAAAAAAAAAAACTCTAGCAAACCCTCTACTGGACCCTCTAGATTTGTTGGCATCCTATTAGCGGCAATTTATTTTTTTTAAAAAAAAGGAAAGTGAACAATTTGGATAGCACCAACAGGATCCACATAATTTGCAACGGCATGCATCAAACGGATTTGCTTTTAGTTGAGGAGGTAAATGGCTTTTTTTTTCCTTTTTCACTTGCCGAAAATAATTTTCTATTTCTACAATGGCATTAAAGGATCGGAATAATTTGCATAGCACATCTCCCGCTCCACGCATGCATCCGACGGCCGATAATGTCTCTCCCACCTTGATCAAATTTCAAATTTCAAAATTCAAAACTCAAAACCAGGCTCCGGCCGAATTACATGCTCATCCCCGTCCTTCCATTCCTGCATGCAGACGGGTAGGAAAAACCCCACATCGCCCGCTCGACGCATGCATCCGTCCGACGGCCGATAATGTCGCTCCTCCACTCCACCTCGATCAAAATTCAAAGTTCAAAACCAGGCTCCGGCCGAATTATATATATATGCTCATCACCCTCCCCTCTCCGTCCTTCCATCCCTGCACTGCATGTGCATGCAGACGGGTAGGAACCAGGAAACCCCAGATCAGATCGGGATCGTCGTACGTCTTTGCATCCGGCCAGGCGCCGCCGCAAATTTGGACCCGGCCGGCGACGACGCCGACCTCGCGGAGATGTCGTCAATACAGAGGATACGCTAGGACCTCGCGTGTAACACTACATCAGAATTGTACTTCACTGTGGGTTCAAAATACCCCATCACTATCGGATTTTGAACCGGCATAACTATACTGACAGTGACGAGAATAAATTATCACTGTCGGTTCCTACAAACCGACAGTGTTCTTCAACTTCACTGCCGGTTCTTTACACAACCGGCAGAGTTCAGTTCCAGTAACACTGCCAGTTCATAAGACCACCCGGTATAGTTCATTTCCATCAACACTGTCGGTTTGTGTTTAAACCGACAGTGTTATCGTACGAATCACTGCCGGTTTGTGAACCGGCAGTGATGGCTAAGCCAACGCTGCCGGTTTGTGGCTACAGTCGGCAGTGTCATCACTGTCGGTTTGTTGCTAACCGACAGTGATGTTTACGACAACACTGTCGGTTTTCTGCTAACCGGCAGTGATGTCACGTTCGCATTTTATTATTTTATAATTTATTTTAATTTATATTTTTTTCGTGGAATCGGGTTTCGCTTTATATACGCTACTTAGACGACAGGTCCATCAATATTAAACATTACAAATGTTACGGTTACAGTTTAAATGTTCTTATCAAGATCTCGATCCCTCAAAATAAAAAAGAAATATTCTTGGACTTCATAGATTGTGCAATGTTTCTCGGACTTCTTACAATAATCTGGCGAGCCGCTCTGGGTTATACTGGTCCTTGAACTTCACGGATTGTGCAATAGAAAATACTCCATCTTTTTTCAATACCTCGGCTAAGATGAATTTTGCCAGCTCCGATTGCAGCGCGGCGATCTCCATGTCTAATAGCCTTTCGTGGTAATATTTCTTGCGCTGTCGTTCAAAAAAGATGATATCATTTTGTTGAATGATTAACAGACATAAATGAAATGGGGATTATACACACCAACTTATCGGCTTCTTCCGATTTCTCGCCGATGTAGCGAAGCATTACCCACATTACATAAAACCCACATTCATTGTTTCCCACCGGCTGTTTTAGGTACTTCCCCTCTATTTCGACAACCTTGAATGGGACCTGCGTCCCACTGATATGTCTTCTTCGGACACTGAGCAACATTAAAAGGAGAAACGTTAGAAAGTGGTATGTGTGATTAGAAAATAATATGTTATTAGGATCGCTTACTAATTCAGCACTACCACCAGTGCATCCAGATGATGAAATGGCTTTTTCTTCGAGCCCCACACCTCGATCAGATTTTTGGCAAGATTAACACAAATGAAGACGAAATGGTGGCTGCAATCATAGAATCATAATTATCGAATAATCTTAACGAAAAAAGAAGCATAAAATTAAAAGCCGAGAACACATACTCGCAGTTGTAGGCTAAAAGTATGTGGGTTTTGTTCTTCATCTTGAATTCGTCAAAAACAGCAATCAATCTCTGTTTCAGATCTTTCACGTCACATCCATGGAGGCCTAGACATGTCTTCTCATTGACTCGCAAGGGTCCAAGAAGCCTATGTTATTATATTTGCTTTTTAGAATGTAAAATTTTGCTATACACCTACATAAAATCATTGAAAGTACTCAAAAGTTAATAATTTATGTCCCGGGAGAGTAGTTAATTGTAATATCGTGCGTGTAGGGTACTTACATAGTTCATAGTGTCAATATTTGTGTATCGAGAGAGCATTTCTGGTATAGCTGGAACAAGCACTCCCACTCGACATCGAATTTCTCTTCTTCAGGATAATTAAAAACATGTGGCGAACGGATAATAACCTCAAAACCAAAGTCCCCCGTCTCTGTTGTTTGAGCCATGTAATATTCATGCAACTGGCGCATATATGTTGTCAAATTTTTATACTCGTCATCGGGAACCAAAAGATTGCCCCTTTCATACTTCATTGTCGGTGTTGTTGTCCCTTATACATCATAATAGATGGTCGCGGCCTCTTCCATGGTTAATTCAGGATTGTCTTCGATGAACTTCTGTATCTTACTTAAATCTACATTGTGTATTTCATCGGCTCTTGTTGTAGCGTATTGATTCTGTGTTTGCCTTTCGAATTCGGACTTCAACAAAAACGGAGGCAGTGAGGCACAAAGATTGAATAAACTAATACAATCTTCCTTCGAGATGTGTGCTGTAAATTTTCCTTCCATCAAGTTTGTAACATTGCCACTGAATGGCTTTTTTCTTTTTTGTTGGACCACTTTGGGAGCATTAGCGACCGAATCCAAGGACCTTTTCTACGACTGCGATGATGCCTTTGATCTTGTTTTAGGCTGAGGTGGAGGAGGAGGAGGATGGCGACGAGAATTTTGTTTTCCCGGGGCTGATGAAGATGGAGGAGGAGGAGGAGGAGGAGTCTCTTTTCTCGGGGCTGATGAAGATAGAGTCGGATGAGGAGGAATAGAAGGAGACCTCTGTCTTCTCGGGGTGATGGCAAGGGATGAGGAGGGGAGTGATCTCTGTTGGGAGATGGTGAGTGATCGTCATGGGTGGGCGAAGACTCGCAATCGTCCTCATCATCAGAGGACAATTGGTGGTCAAGCTTAATGAAGTGCTTGCGCCAGGCCACTTGAGAGCCCTTGTTATGACCAAGTTTCGACCTGTCTTCCGCTATGGGGTACTCAATGTGTATCTTGTTATACTTCTTATCAAGTATTCCGTCAATGGTGATACGAGCGTACCCCTATAGAATTGGACGGCCATTAATGGTCCTATCTCCCGCAAGCCAGGCCTAGCCAAGCGCCACCTTGTCCTTTGTCCATTCCTGATGGATGTACAATTTGACATTGACGGGTTCAGTGATGATGTCCACTGGATGAGGCACATTCGCATCTTCATCGAGCGGGGTCGATCCGCAGCTTCTATGACCCCTAAACTATGGGCTAAAGGCAGTAGGAGTAGGGTTTTGTGGTACTCCTGACCCCTTAGACAGCAAATTTTGTTGGACTCGTGCTTCAACATTCACCTCAATCCATGCGCCCATTCTTTCTTCCATCTCTTTTAGTTGCCTCAAATACTCTGCCTCCTGATCCGCTCTACCCCTCGAGTGGCTCCGGTAAGTGTTATATTCTTGGGGAATGCTAGTTTCCAAGGAACAACACCGGTTCCTCTAGTGCGACCAGGGTGCTCATTGGTTCTGAGTGCTTGGGTGAGCACATCTTTCTCCCTATTAGAAGTGCGAGTCCCTTGCCTCACCTCCTCAGTTACCTAGGAGATCCTCTGGATGAGTTCGCTCATGGGTTGATTTGTGGAGCTAAAGCTCCCGTCCTCTACATGGCGTACATTCCTCCCCA